TTCCAGTCACACTGTTGCGGGGCTTATCTCTAGAGGAGCAGAGCTGCCCTCGGTGTCCCGGGGGTGCCTCTTCTGCCTGGCTCTGTGGCTGGGGAGCTGTGTCTAGAAAGTGTGGGTCTACTGTATGGTGTTTGGAAGAGAAAGAAAGGGCAGCGGTGCCGCGTGGGGCTGTGGAAAAGGACACGGACCAGCCCTGGACCTGACTTTGTTCAACTGCATATAGATGTGGGTGAGTTTATTCTGTTTGGTTTTCATTTTCTTAAGGATACTGTTAGTATTTCATATCGCCTGAGGTTATTTCTCAGCTTCTGAGCATGGTTGCTTTACGCTATCCCAGCCACAGGAGACTTAGGGAGAATGGGGCTGGTGGTGGCGGGCATCATGAAATGTACCTTAACTCAGTCCTTACACAGTCTTCCTCAGACAGGCTGAAGGGTTGGCAGAACATTATGTAAAAAGTGGAACTGACTTTGCTTTTTCTAACGATTCCAAAGGCTACAAATACCCCAAAGCTGCAACTATGCAGACCTGCACACTCAAGCCTGTGTTTCTCCCCTCCTTCTCCAAGAGATCAGAGGCAGCCTGCGGCCTCTTAGGAATTCTGCCAGCTGGGGAAGGTGTCTGCTTTTTCCAGCACAGTTGAACGATTCAGGGTGAAGTATGAAGTAGGCTGGGGAGGCTCTGGAAGCAGAGCGTGCCTCGGGCCTGTATTAGAACCGAAGTAGCAGCGAGAGAGAACAGGCTGTTTCCTCCTTAGAATGCAGACAAGTGGGTGAGATGGCTGGCTTTTTCTGCGTTGCTGCCAGCCGGAAGCTATGCCCACAGATGTGGACTGTTTATCTATGGTTTTTTTTGATGTGTTTGTTTTCTTTCTTTCCTAGGGCAGGGTTAGGGAGGTTGTGAGGCTGGGACAGAGCAAAAACCTGAAAATTTCAATTGGTTAGTAAAATGAGAAAGCCAGCAGGGGAAGAATTGACTTCCCTTAATTGCTAAGAATGTTGAAGTCATTTCTCAGAAGTATCCCTGGGGCTTCCCTGGTGGCGCAGTGGTTGAGAGTCCGCCTGCCGATGCAGGGGACACGGGTTCGTGCCCCGGTCTGGGAAGATCCCACATGCTGTGGAGCAGCTAGGCCCGTGAGCCATGGCTGCTGAGGCTGCGCGTCTGGAGCCTGTGCTCCGCAACGGGAGAGTCCACAGCAGTGAGAGGCCCGCGTACCGCAAAAAAAAAAAAAAAAAAAGTATCCCTAAACCCTAACCTCCACATTCTGTTGGGTGCCCCATTCCTGAGTGCCTTATATATAGTGCCTAGCAGGTGTAATGGGTTAAGGTCATTGCCCTGGAGGTGCTTATATAATTTACCAAGAGCGGGGCCAGGGCAATTGTGAGACACTTACACGTAAGCATTTCATTAGACTCCATAAGCAGAGCCAAGAATGCTATGGAAACCCAGAGGGGTTACTGGCTAGAGAAGGCTTCGTAGAATAGGTGGCAAATGGGACGTTATTTTAAAGATGGAGATGAAGTAGCACAATCCAAGGTGGAAGAGAGAGCAAAGAAGTGAGGAATTTTTCTGTGAGCATGCAGTCATCACCGGGACTCCTACTGTCCAGGCTAGTTACTGTTCCATCTCTTAGCCCATCTCGGGCAGACAGGATGCGGAATTGTTCAGACTTTCTTTTCCCCTTTTTGCTTTTTCCTCCTTTGACTAGATTAACTAGGATAAAGGGACAGGAGAAGGTGGAAGATGCGTTGCAGTAGGCTTTATACTTAGTTTGGTATATACTGTGTGAGGACGGGAGCCATGTATCAGTTCTTTTTTTTTTTAACTTCACAAATAAAATAGTTATTTTAAACAACTTTATTGAGATATAATTCACATACCACACAGTTTACCTATTTAAAGTGTACAATTCAGTGGGTTTTTAGTATATTCACAAAGTTGTGTAAATGTAACTACAGTCTAATTTTAGAACATTTCCACCACCCCGGAAGGAAACCCTTTTGCCCATTCACAGGTGTTCCTGATTCCTCTCACTGCCCCCAGCCCTAGGCAACCCCTAATCTGCTTTCTGTCGCTATAATAGATTTGCCTGTTCTGTCCAATTCATATAGACTCAAACAATATGTGGTTCTTTGTGACTGGCTTGTTTCACTTAGCAGAATGTTTTCAGGGTCCATCCATATTGTAGCATGTATTAGTACTTCATTCCTTTTTATGGCTGAATAATATTCCATTGTACAGATAAACCATCTTTTGTTTATCCATTCATCAATTGATGGCCATTTGAGTTGTTTGTACTTTTTGACTGTTACGAATAATGCTCTTATGAACATTTATGTATAAGTTTTTGTGTGGATGTATGTTTTCATTTTTCTTGTGTATATACCTTAGGGTGGAATTGCTGGATCATGTGGTAACTAACTCCTTGTGTAACATTTTGAGGAATTGCCAGACTGTTTTCCACAGTGGTGGTACCATTTTACATTTCTACCAGCAGTGCTTGAGGGTTCCAATTTCTCCTCACCCACACTTTTGTTATTATCTTTTTTTTTTTTGATCATAGCCTTTCAGTTGGTTTTGATTTGTGTTTCCCTAGTAACTAATGATGTTGAGTATCTTTTCATGTGGTTATTGCTATGTGCATATCTTCTTTGGAGAAATGTCTATTCAGATCCTTAGCTCATTTTAAAATTAGGTTATTTGGTTTTTTATTATCGAGTTGTATGCGTTCTTTATATGTTCCAGATACCAGACCCTTATCAGATAAATGATTTGCAGATATTTTCTACCATTCTGGGGGTTGTCTTTCCACTTTCTTGATAGTGTCCAGAAAAGATTTTAATTTTGATGAAGTTCAGTTAATCCATTTTTTCTTTTATCACTCTGCTTTTGATGCTGTATCTAAGAAATCATTGCTTAACCCAAGATCATGAAGATTTACTCCTGTGTTTTCTTCTTTGAGTTTCATAGCTTTAGCTCTTCCATGTAGGTCTTTGATCCGTTTTGAGTTAATTTTTGTGTGTGATGTGAGTAAAGGGTCCAGCTTCATTCTTTTGCGTGTGAAGCACCATTTGTTGAGATTATTCTTTCCTCTTTGAATTATCTTGGCACCTTTTTGAGAATGAGTTGACCACAAGTGTGTGGGCTTATTTCTTGACTCTCAATTCTGTTCCATTGATCTGCATGTCAGGATCAGTATTTTGAAAGCTCCTCGGGTGATTCCATGTACATTCTGTGTGAGAACTGTTTGTATGGTTTGATTGGGAGGCAGCAAACACAGGTTGCTGAACTACTTCATTAAAGATGTGCAGATCTCCTTAGGTAGGTTTATTCCTAGATATTTTATTCTTTTTGTTGCAATGGTAAATGGAAGTGTTTTCTTGAGTTCCCTTTCAGATTTTTCATCATTAGTGTATAGGAATGCCAGAGATTTCTGTGCATTAATTTTGTATCCTGCTACTTTACCAAATTCATTGATTAGCTCTAGTAGTTTTCTGGTAGCATCTTTAGGATTCTCTATGTATAGTATCATGTCATCTGCAAACAGTGACAGCTTTACTTCTTCTTTTCCGATTTGGATTCCTTTTATTTCCTTTTCTTCTCTGATTGCTGTGACAAAGCGAGAGAGAGGCATGGACATATATATACACTACCAAACGTAAGATAGATAGCTAGTGGGAAGCAGCCGCATAGCACAGGGAGATCAGCTCGGTGCTTTGTGACCGCCTGGAGGGGTGGGATAGGGAGGGTGGGAGGGAGGGAGATGCAAGAGGGAAGAGACATGGGAACATATGTATATGTATAACTGATTCACTTTGTTATAAAGCAGAAACTAACACACCGTTGTAAAGCAATTATACCCCAATAAAGATGTTAAAAAAAAAAAGAAAGATATGCAGATCATCTGTTCTTAACTAAACCAGTGTTTCGCAAACTGGGCTGGTATGAATCACCAGGGAGGATTCTGGCCCCTGTGCCCTGCGGAGACACGGCTTGGTAAGGGGTGAGGAGGGGACATGTGGCCTGTGATTCTGGGCTCTTCCACATGGACACTTCCTCTCCACCAGTTGCCAATTGATTGAAACCTTCAGGAATCTGCTTGTTAAATGAACTCTCCAGGTGAGTCGTATGGTCAGTCTCGCTGGGTTGATGCCGAATCTGCTAGGCCAGACCAGTACCATGGTCCTTCCACGGAATTGCTGTTCCCAAGGTACTCTTGGGGTGAAGCCATCGCTCTGTCTTAAGGGGGATGACAAGAAAGAGCCCCTTGAACCTCCTCTGCATGTTTACTGTGAGCACTTCCCTGGCCACCTTATTTAGTATTGTCTTCAGCCATATATACACAAATATTTTATACCTACGTTTCCTTCTCATCTGCCTTGTTTACTTTATTTAAATTTCTGACTATGGAGGAAGTATATATATATTTCAAGGATACAGATTGAAAGCTTCATGAGAGAAGGGATTTTTGGTTGACTGCAATATCTCCAGCATGAAGAACAGTGCCTGGCACATAGTAGGCACTCAATAAATATTTGTTGAATGAATGAAAGGGCTGTCGAGATTGAACAATGGAGAGAGAGACTTCTCTCGTTCAGCATCAGCAGCAGTCACCCTGCTTGGTTTTAATCTCATGATACTGTGACTCATTAAAGCACGTGTTTCTCTCTCTGCATGAGCCTCTTGAAGATTAATGCCATATTCATGTCCACTCTAATGCATGTGTAGGACTAACCTCTAATCTTTTCCTTTCTTTTTTTAAATTTAATTTGTCTTACGTTGTGTGCATCTCTGCAAGCTGTTTAAAATCATCTTTGGAATCTGGCAGGCTGTAAATAAATGCTGTTTAATCAGCATTGATAGAAGTTCTTAATTTCAGTGATTCCTCCTGATCTGGGAAATTAAAAGCTTCAGCTCTAGGCTGGAGAAGAATTTTTTAAAAGCCGAATTCCTTTTTCATTTCTCCCTCCCTTTTTTAAATTTTTATTTTTATTTTTTAGGATAGAATTTTTGCGGCATTTGAAGAGCTTTTTCCAGATTATGTTTAAAATTGAAACCAAGCCATGTGGTGAAGAACTCAAGGGAGGGGATAAAGTGCTGATGACTTGTGTTGGCATTGGCTTCTCCAACCTCAGCAAGACCCTCAAGTGACACTGTCACAAGATGAAAGGCCCCAAGGCCTCTGGACACAGCAGAAGCTGCCAAGGAACCAAAGGGACCAAGTTCATCCAGGACAGGATGGCCTCTTATATTAAGGACTTAAAAAATTTTCCATTTGAAAACCATCAGCATATCCGAATAAAGATGTTTCTCTATCTTGTGGTTTCCAGCCATTTCTCCAGGGCAGACATTGCTCAGGAGGCCTATTCTTGATGGGAACTCCCTTGGCTTACCTGGATGACGAGTGTGCCTTCAGGATACAGTCGTGCTGCTAGAACAACATCACAGCTGCATTTCAGCAATGCTTCCTCAGCCCACATCCCCAGGCTTCTGCCATATGGCTATTTTTCCAGACCTGTGGAGTTACTGTTCGTTCTGCAAGGACTGACCTCTCTGAACCTTGGTTTCTGTGTAGGGATTAAATGAGATAATATGGGTGGAAGCCCTTTATGAGTAGTGCAGTGTGATGCAAATGTCAGAAATTGGTGTAGTAGACTATTTTATCCCTTGTCTTCTGAGTGGACTGCTATCTTGGAGACATACTGCTCCCCATCTGGTTCATTGTATGTGGATTTTGGGGAGGATGAGTGACTAGGGAGAGCAGGAATCTAACGAAAGTTATTGGATGTTTTCTGTATCTCAGGTGTGCTATGTGTTTTCTCATTTTATTCCCACAATAGCCCAGTGATGTAGATTTTATTATCTCCACAAGAAAAATTTAAAAAGGGTATTTTGTTCTTTTGAAATTGATAATGGAAAGATAGTAGATCTCTTGATTTAAAAGATCTAAGTGTAATAGTGTCAGAGTCTAGAATTTCACCCTACTTGCAAGCTAATAAGTTAGATGATTACTGTTTCATGGATGCTAGCAGAAGAAATGGATATCTCAGGTCAGAGACAAAGAACTTTATTACTCAGAGCACAGCAAGCAGCATGAGCTTCATGTTTGAATTGGTTTCTTTCTCCCCAAGTCCCACACTGGTGATGTGTAGGGGCCGCAGGTAGATGCCATGCATGCCGGGGGTTTGCATCAGAGCCAAGGAACATGCACACTTGGGCACTCCATCTCTTACAGCAAGCCTGCTCTTTGTTCCAGATGGGGACATTACTTCACCTCTCAAGATTGCTTGCTATGAACACATGACGAGAAAGTGTTGTGGTAAAGGCCTCCCCAGCAAGAATGTGCAGGACCTGTGGTAGTTTCGTCTGCAACTAATAGAGGCTACATGTGGTGTGTGTAAGGGGTCAGAATTGGTAGAAGGGGAAATATCTGATTCTTTCTATTAGGATTCCAAATGGTGTTTTCCACCTAGGGTGGGCTTTTTTTTTTTTTTTTTTTGCGGTACGCGGGCCTCTCACTGCTGTGGCCTCTCCCGTTGCGGAGCACAGGCTCCGGACATGCAGGCTCAGTGGCCATGGCTCACGGGCCTAGCCGCTCCGCGGCATGTGGGATCCTCCCGGACCGGGGCACAGAACCCGTGTCCCCTGCATCGGCAGGCGGACTCTCAACCACTGCGTCATCAGGGAAGCCCAGGGTGGGCTTTTGAAGTAAGGAAAGGTCTTTACCTCCCCAGTTCTCTTGCTCCCCTTTTCTTTTTCAGTAAAAGGGGTCCAGAAGGAGTCTGTGCTCTCGTGTCTGGAGGTGTGGGAGGATGCGGAGGTGAAGGGCTAACACTGAGGGAGGTCAGGCCATTTTGAACTGTGGCTCTCTACTTACTGAGAGCTCTACGTAGTGTGTTAGATTTCTGTTGCTGTGTAACAAATTACCACAGACTTAGCAACTTAAAAGAATACCATTTATCATCTCACAGTTCTGTAGGTCAGAGGTCTTGGTAGGCTTGCTTGGGTTCTCTGGCTAGGGCCTCAGAAGGCTGATGTCAGGGTGTTAGCCAGACTGGGCTCTGGGCAAGAATATGCTTCCAACCGCATTCGGGTTGTTGGCAGAATTCAGGTGGTGGGACTGGGGTCCCTGCTTCTGGCTGTCAGCTGGGGACAATTCTCAGCTTATAGAGCCTGCCTGCATTCCTTGCAACTTGGTTCCCTCCATCTTTAAGCCAACAACAATGCACTGAATCCTTCTGTGGCATTGAATCCTTCTCATGCTTGAATCTGACTTCTTGTGATACCAGGGTAATCTCCTTATCTTAAGGTCATCTGATTACAGCAGTACCTAGATTAGTGTTTGAATAGCCAGGGCCCAGATTCTTGGACATCTGAGAATTCTGCCTGCCACACATACTGCAGTTTTATTTACTGCTGCTGTCATTTGAATCCAGATCTGCCCATGCTCAGATACAGAACTAAGGGACCACGTGGCTTTGGCTGTGTCCTGCAGGGGCTTCCTGTCCCTCGGGACAAGCTCTGGAAATGGTACTGTTGGTCAGTTTAGGGTGGCATGTAGACTCCAGGCAGATCATTGCAAGCAGTAGAAGGGACGTGTGCCCCTCTCTGCTCTAAACACGGAAGTGTCCCAGCCCTCATCTGGCACAGCTACTTCTGGAGTGGTAGTGGTGATGCTATTGCCAATAGGAGGACAAATTTAATATTTATTTAAACAGCCTACTGCCAGCCCCTTCTCAGGTGCCCAAGAGAAGCAATTGCACTCCTTGGGCAGAAGTTGCTGGTGCATCTTAGTGACATTCCGCTCCTTCATTCTCTGCCTTATTCTTAGCTTAGCTCCTGATTGGTTCAGCTACCCCTGGTGCAGTTTGATGGGAGATTCCAGCATTTTGGACTTCGCTTTCTATCTTGACCTGTCTACTCCTCTCTGCTGACAGAGACAGACCACTCTGAGTTCAGCGAGACTAGTGATTTTTTTTTTTTTTTTAAGGCATATACATCTGTGATGTTTTGGGGCTCGTGGCCGAATCACAGCCTTTGCCTTCCTGTCATGTACCAGGCCCTGCTTCTGTCTTTCACCGTCCTTCTGTGTGAACACCAGCCAGCCTCCCTCCATCATGATTATTTACCATCTTCATCAAGACAGTTGATAAGGGTAGGGGGAAGCTGGGGTATTGCAACATGACGTGCTGATGGGGAAAGAGCAGTAGGAGGCACTGCTGATATCCACGTTGCCCTCAGAGGGCAGCTGAACCTCGTGGTTTGTTTGTTTGTCTTAATCTTTTCTGATAAAAAGTGGTGAAGGACATCACTGATTACAGACCCAACCAAAAAGCCCCAAAACTTAGGTTACACCGTGGTGCCTGTCCTCACTGTCATGCTAGGATGAAAGATCGTGAGGTGGCCATTCCGCTAGGTCTGTTGTGTCTGGAGGCTCCTAGGTGAGGCCAGTGCTGGCAGTTAGCTTCGTGGTGACCGAGCGGAAGTGTTGAGGGTGTTAAAAGGCAGGGAAGGAAGTAGCAGATTGGAGTAGAGGAGGCCTGTGGAAGTGGACAAAATTGAAGGTAGATAGAGAAAAGGAAACACCAGGAAACTAAGGGATTGCTTCAGTTTTAACCATGCCCAAGGTTGGGGTGGGATTCACCTGGGTGAGGTGAGGGGACCAAGGCAGGGTGCTGAAGTGGATTTTTCCAGGGTATTGGTCACGGTGGGAGGATTAGAATGTGGCGTTCCACTGACTTTACCTGTTGGTGTTTTGCTGGAGACGTGTGGATGTGCCGGTGGGCAATTTTAGCCAGTCTGTGGTGAATGGGAAAGCAGCACTGCAGCCTGTGTGCCCAGCCTGGACCTCTGTTATTCCTCACCTGACTCCAGAATAGGGGAGAAGTAACTTGCATTTAGTCAGAGTTTCCATGTTTAGACCACCTGGCCGGTTCTTTAGAAGTGACTAACAGTTAATAGGAATGTCAGTAGGCAAGCCAGGTCTTTCTGTACTCTAGCTGGCTAGGTCTAAGAAGCCATGTGAGGGACTTCCCTGGTGGTCCAGTGGCTAAGACTCCACACTCCCCATGCAGGGGGCCCGGGTTCGATCCCTGGTCAGGGAACAAGATCCCACATGCCGTAAGTGAAGATCCCGCATGCCGCAAGTGAAGATCCCGCATGCCGCAACTAAAACCCAGTGCAGCCAAATAAATAAATAAGTAAATAAATAAACACTAAAAAAAAAAGAAGAAGCCATTTGAGTGGGACAATTTATCAGTGTTTGGCATCTTGGATGGACCAGGGCAGAGTTTTTTTCACACATGCGCCACTTCCTCTCTTCCTGGTTCTTCTGATACTGGTGGCTCTGGATGTGGATCCTGCTCTGCAGACACCCTTCTGTTGAGTCTGCAGGGGAGGTGATGGTGACCTCACGAGCTAAGTAGCCCAGCTTGCTTTCTGGCCCAGTTCAGCTACTAACCAGCTGTGATGGGATAAGTAATTCACCTCCCCACACTTGGTTTCCTCTGGGAAATCAGGGTGGATGTGTGAGATGGTGCCCCACAAAACAGAAAGATATGCACCATTGCCTCCTCCTCTCCTATCATTATATGTGTTTACTTGGGGTGGCAGATAGGTTAGTTGGCATGAGTATTTTTATTTTAAACATCAAGATGTTTCTGAGGTCTCAGGACACTCTTTATTTGTGTGTTTCTTCCCTGTTCCCAACCCTCTTAAAGAGCTTTACTTCAAAAATTTCAGATTGATTAACTTGTTAATAATTTCTGCTGTGATTTGGGAAATCATATATTCAAACTGATGAAGGCAGGTGAATTTCTAGAAATCAGAGACCAACTTAAATGAACAAGCCCAGCAATGACACGTGTGGCAACTTCACGTGTCTACTCTGTGAATACCCTGTCACCACGGCCGTGAGGGTGCTGGGCCTGCTGCCGGACTCATTGGTGGCTGTTTGGGTAACTGGTCTTGTCTTGGGAGTAGATGCTGCCCCAAAGGAAGGGGAATGGCAGAGGCAGCTTCCTGTTCCTGCTGCATCTGTGGATGGCAGGACACTCCTGAAGACATCTCTTTATAGTCTTCAAGGGAAGATATTGGTGGGGATTGCGTATTTGGAAATGGTGCCTGGCTTGCTGCTTGCAGGGATCCAATTTCAGATCATGACAACTGACCTCAGGTGGTTTTAAATGCTGAGTGTACTTGGCTCCCATACTTCCTGCATTCTCTCTCCGTGCTCTGTTTCCACCTCTCTGCTATTTTACCCGTTAGGCAATTAAAGGCATTGTGCCTAAGATCTGTAAGTTTTGAAGAACCAATG